AAGTGCACCTTCGGCGTCCAAGGGGGCAAGTTCTTGGGCTACATGGTGAGCCGAAGGGGTATTGAGGCCAATCTCGAGAAGATCCAGGCCATCATCAACATGGAGCCCCCACGCAATGTGAAGGAAGTCCAACGGTTGACGGGCCGCCTGGCAGCCCTCAATCGCTTTCTATCTAAATCAGCGGAGAAATCTCTACCCTTCTTCCAGATCATGAGGAAGACGGTTGGCTTTCTATGGACTCCGGAATGCCAGGGGGCTTTCGACGAACTCAAGCGATATCTATCTTCACCCCCTGTGCTCTCAAAACCAAAGGTAGGGGAGACCCTCTATCTCTACCTTGGGGTCAGCCCGGCAGCCATCAGCTCCGTACTCATCCGGGAGGAAGACGGCATCCAACATGCCATCTTCTATGTAAGCAAGACCCTAAGGGAGGCCGAACTCAGGTACTCTCCTGTGGAGAAAACGGTGTTAGCCATCGTTTGGACCGTCAAGAAGTTGGGCCACTACTTTCAGGCTCACCCGGTTCATGTCCTCACTCATCAACCCCTCGGCGCCCTCATGAGGAGCCCCACCAGCTCCTCCCGCATGGTGAAATGGGCTATCTTCTTGAGCCAGTACAACATTGACATCCGTCCGAGGCCTGCCATCAAGGGCCAAGCCCTGGCGGACTTTGTGACGGAATGTACCGCAAGGGTAGCCACGGACGGGGAGCCCTCGGCTACCTCGGACGACTGGTGGACCCTCTACACCGATGGCTCCTCCGCGACCAAAGCATGCGGGGGAGGGGTAGTCCTCATTACTCCCGAGGGCTTCAGAGCCTACTATGCAATCCGCTTCTCCTTCAAAGTCTCCAACAACGAGGCCGAATATGAGGCCCTCCTATGTGGCCTTCGGCTGGCTGCCAACATGAGGGCCCGGCAGATCCACATCAAATGCGACTCCAAGTTGGTCGTTGGCCAAATCTCCGAGGAATATGAGGCCAAGGAGGGAAGAATGAAATAGTACAAGGAAACGGCCAAGGAGTTGCTTAAGGTATTTGAGGCACACTCTCTCACTCAAATACCGAGGGCTCAGAACTCCGAGGCCGACATATTATCTAAGCTCTCGGACGACTCCCCCGAGCATATCTCCAAAATTGCCAAAATTGAGGAACTCAGCCTCTCGAGTATCCATGCAAGCCCCGTTATGAACATACAGCAACGCCAAGAGGATTGGATCTCAGATATCACCGCTTTCATCTCCACAGGGCAGCTACCCGAGAATGAGACCCGCGCTAAACTGGCAAAGTTGAGGGCTCCTAGCTACACCATCGAAGATGGAAGGCTCTACAAACGATCTTACAATGGCACGCTACTTCGGTGCCTTCATCAGGATGAAGCCGAGGTCGCAATGGAGGAGGTGCACAGTGGCACTTGCTCAGCTCACCAGGGACCCTTCTCCATGTCCCGAAGGCTCATTCTCCAGGGCTATTTTTGGCCAACCATGGCCAGAGATTGTGCTGACCTTGCCCAAAGGTGCACCGCATGTCAACATTTCCAGAAAGCCCCCGGCAGGCCAGCGGTCAACTATGCCCCCATCAGCACATCCGTCCCCTTTTCTCGATGGGGGATAGACCTTGTGGGCCCTCTGCCGAGGGGTACCTCCAACAACAGATACATCATTGTGGCCATCGACTACTTTACCAAGTGGGTGGAGGCTGAGCCCCTCGCCAGTATCACAGAGGCGAAGTGCCGTCACTTCGTCCTCAAGAACATCCTCACAAGGTTTGGCGTCCCCCAGCAGATCATCTCCGACAATGGGACACAATTTGAGGCAGCCCCCTTCTGTGCCCTTCTGCAGGCATGGGGCATCAAACACACCTTCTCCTCCGTTGCCTACCCTCAAGGAAACGGGCAAGTAGAGAATGCCAACCGGACCTTGCTCGAGGGCCTCAAAAAGAAGGTGGAGGCCGAGGGCGGTGGCTGGGTGGAAGAACTCCACAACATCCTGTGGGCCTACCGCACCACCCCTCGGCGAGCAACAGGTGAAACACCCTTCTCCCTCTGCTACGGTTTTGAAGCCAAAGCTCCTACGGAAGTCACCCTTCCCACCCGAAGGGTGATCCAATATGACCCCGAGGTCAACGACAGCAACATGGCCCTCGACCTCCACCTCATTTCAGAACGCCGGGAGCAGGCCTTCATCTGGGCAGAAAATTACCGAAGGCAAGTCAAAAGCTACATCAACGCCAAAGTTCGCACTAGAGAATTCCAAGTGGGGGACTATGTCCTCCGGAGGAGGGAAGCCAGCCAACCAACCGAGGGAGGAAAAATGGCACCAAAATTCGAAGGCCCCTACATCATAGCAGCCATCATCAAACCTGGGACTTACAAGCTCAAACGCCCCAACGGGAAAGAGGTCCCTAGACACTGGAATGTACACCATTTAGTTAAATTTTACCAATAATGTAAGAGCGGCCAAGCCCTCATAACTAATGAATGTACTATCCTATGGCCCAAGGCCTCCACTTTTGAGGAATGAAGACACATTCAAGACACCACACCCTCATACTGACTACAGGCCCCAGGCCTCACCACAAGAAGAACCCCCTCCGGCACCAAGTGCCGAGGGCGGACACCATCAACACCTACAACAACAGGAGAACACCATGTGTTTTCGAACAAGACCCCTCGGTACCAAGTACCGAGGGTGGGAACTCCCGTCACCAACGACAAGGAACGCCATGTGTTTTATTTCCCTTCGGCACCCAGTGCCGAGGGTACATCCCCACCTTCAAACATCAAAAAAGAAAAGATAAGAACATCAAGTGTTCCTACAGAAGACCCTTCGGCACCCAGTGCCGAGGGTACACCTCCATCACCAACATCAGAACGAAGAAAAACACCAAATGTTTCAAAGAAGACCCCTCGGCACCCAGTGCCAGGGATATGCTCTCCTATCAACTTCCAAACATCTGTTGGGAAACACCAAGTGTTTCCTCCGAGGGCCCTCCGGCACCAAACACTCCAATCAAAACACCAAGTGTTTCATTTGAAGACCCTTCGGTACCAAGTACCGAGGGTAGACACCTCCACCAACTGCAACAAAAGAGAACACCAAGTGTTCCTACAGAAGACCCCTCGGTACCAAGTACCGGGGGCTACACATCGAAACTAACACCAAGTGTTGTTTCTAAAAGCCGTACCCCACGAGGACGCATATACCGAAGGCGCCACCATCGGTGCCGGCGGCACGTATTGCCCCCGGCCATTTGCAACTAGTGTGCAAATGAAAACCCTTCCTTGAAACGCTTTCCGCGTCACTACCCCTAGGGTATGACAGGCATGAGAAATGCCCAGGATTCGACTTTCAAAAACGGAACGCTATCCGCGTCATCACCCCAAGGGTATGACAGGCACGAGAAATGCCCAGGATTCGACTTCCAAACCGAAACGCTCCCCGCGCCACCACCCCAAGGGTGTGGCAGGCCACGGACTATGTCTAGCGCCGAGGGGACGACTTTCAAAAATGAGGCGCTTTCCGCGCCATCCCCCAAGGGGAGGCAGGTTACAGACCACCATATCTTGTGCCCAGGAAACGACCCTCGATCCCCTCGGAACTCGGAAGGTTAACCCGAGGGAGGAGAGCCATTGGTGTATTCTGATGGTCTCCTAATAGGCCCAGCCTTACCAAGAAACCAAGTTTCTTGATGCCTTCCCTTCACCACCAACCAAAAAAAAAAAAGAAGAGGGGGTGAAGGGGAGTAGACTCAGCGAGAAATCAAAGAGTACACTCCAACAGGTCACAATATACCGAGGGCTCCCCACGGGAACACCTCCGGTAATTGAAGGCTCCTATTTCCCGAAGGATACTACTCAAACGAATATCATCAAAAAACGGCTAAGTCCACTGCTTGGTCACCTCCGGTCACACAGGCACCGAAGGCTTCGACAATACAAAGGGACCGGACTATCCAAAGTCCACTAAACAGTACTTCAAACAAAACGAAGTACAGAGGGCCCCTACCCCATTACAAGGGACACAACTGGCTAAGTCAGACTCTACAACTTTTCAAAGTGTATGCCGAGGGCACACACTCCTCATTGGCTTTCTTCACAACAACAGGATTCCACACTTTTCCTAAGTCCACACTTTTGGAAAATGACAGCAACCGGAGGTTAATATGTCACCAGACAACCGAAGGCATCTCTTACAAATCTTCAAAAGCCAACCAAGGGGACTGTTCCAAAATATTTGCCCCTCGGACAGACTCCTCACTGACCGAAGGTCCAACATCTACGACACACTGTGAAAGTTTGTTAAGTTCCACATATTTGGCCCTCGATCAAATGCTCATACAACTCAAGGGCCCCACGATCACCCGAAGGGTCCTGTTCATATACCCGGAGGGCTCTACATCCGGAAGCTCGACATCACTTTACGCTTAAAAAATATTCTAAGTCCTAAATGAGTAGCCCCCGGGCATCTCGCAAAGTGATGTAGAGTCAGAGGGCACCTATCACCCGAAGGCTACACAAGGAAGCAGCACTTGGAAAAAAATCTAAGTCCTAAAGATTGGGCCCCCGGCCCAATCAATATTACAGCCAAGGGAATATGGTAGCCGAAGGCTATGCAATACAACAACACTTAAAAAAAATTCTAAGTCCTAAAGATGGGCCCCCGGCCCAATCAATATTACAGCTAAATGAATATGACAGTCGAAGGCTATGCATCAAGAAGGGATGCCATCTCCCGAAGGCTCCCGAGGGAAAATCTACACTTAGAAAATTTTCTGAGTCCTACATATTTTTCCCCGGTCAACTACTCATACATCAAGAAGGGATGCCATCTCCCGAAGGCTCCCAAGGGAAAATCTACACTTAGAAATCTTTCTAAGTCCTACATATTTCACCCTCATCTCAAGGGACCTAATAGCCGAAGGCTACCTATCAATCAAAGGCTACAGTACACAAGGAATCAACACTTAGAAAAAATTTCTAAAGTTCTAACTATTGCTGAGCCCTCGGTTGTATATCCAGCATAGGGTGCCCAACTACCGAAGGCTACAACCATATTCAAACACTTAGAAAATATTCTAAGTCCTAGGCATACATTCAAAAAGGAGAAGACATACACTCAAAAAGGAGAAGGCATACATTCAAAACATAGGGCGCATTCAAATGTGAAGAGCCCGGAGGCAGCATGCATTCATCAAAAACAGAAGTGAGTGTAAAATTACAAACAGGCCGAAGTCGAAGGATCAATGTTGTTCATTACAAAATATGTTCAGACATTCCTAAGTATAAAATCACTCAACAACTTCGACAGCATCATTCCCCGGGGTGTCCTCTGCAGCCGGCCTCGACGATACCTCCGCTCCGGCCTCAACAGCGTCGTCCTCGGCCTCTTTCTTCAGCTCTGTGTCCTCAAGGTCGGGCCGTTGTACACCTTCGGGGAGGGATTCACGGACATCAGGCTGCAGGGGAGGGAGGCCATATGCCGAGGGGGCGAAATCCTTTGGCTCAATACCCAAGTGCCGGGCCATCCTCCGATAGATGAGGGCCTGGGTGAAGAATTCGTCGGCCTCATAATATTCTCTGCCCTTCCGGGCCATCCATTCCCACCCAGGGCCCTCGGCCCATTCATCAACGCATGCCTCCACGACCGAGGACACCCACATCTTGCGCCCCTCGGCTCTCCAACCCTCGGCGACGAAGGCGTCAACGGCCTCCTCCTGAGCCTTGGCGATGGCTAACGCTTTGGAATCCTCGGCCTCTTTGGCAGCTCTCCTGGCCTCCTCAGCAGCGGCCTCAGCATCAGCCTTGCCCTTTTCTGCAGCCTCCAATTTTAGGTTCATCTGCCGAAGCTCCTCTTCTAGCCTGGCCCCCAGCTTCACCGCCTCTTTGTTCTTGAGGATACACTCCCTCATTTTGACATCCTGCTCCGCTTTGTGAAGGCGCCATTCTTGAAGCCTCCGGGCCTGTTCGCCGAGGGCTAGACAAGCCTGCAGATCAACAACAAAAACGGTTAAAGGCAATCACACAAAATGATCAAAGGAGAAGATGAAGAAAGCCAAGTGAACACTTACAGAGAGGGAGGAGCGGAGAATGTGGTCCTCGAGGGCCGCATCATTATAAGCCCCGAGGGCAGCCCTATCCGTCTCAGGGGTTATGCCCCTCAAGATGGCCCCCGGGTCGACAGCGCCGCTGGCCAGAGATGTACCCCTCGGAAACGAAACTTGGAGGACCTCAAGCAGCAACTCCTCTGCCCCCGCCGACGTTCCACCCGACGGCTTCTCCACCTGCACCCCGGAGGCGGGGTGCTCATCAACAATCATGACCGGGGGCTCCCTATCGGTGATATCCCCCTTCTTCGGCTTTTTGGTAGCCGGGGGGACCCCTTGGTCGCCACCTTCCTCTTGCTGGCAGCGGCATCGCCCTCGGCTTTCTTGAAGAGGGCAGTGGCGGGCTTCTGGTTGCCCTGTCCCGACCCCTTCGGGTCCTGTTTCTTCAGGCGAGCGAGGCCCTTCACGTTCACCATGGACACGGGGATACCTGCAAAAATACGACAAAGGATTAGGCCGACGGGTCTAAGCGAAGGGACAATGACATCCAAGCAAAACAAAAAAAAAACAAAGTACAAAAATCTAAAGCCCTCAGCTCCTACCTCCGGCTCCTCCGAAGGCCTTGTTGAAGGGAGGATACTTCTCATCGGTCTCCCCTATGAAGCGGTACCTCCGGAACCCGAGGGTGTATAAATCCTCCTCGAGGGTGCAATCTCTGATCGCCACATTCTTTTTTTTCCCTTCCGAGAACTTGGCCAGCTTTAGGCCGTCTTTCTCGAGGGCAGCACTCCTGATCTTTTCGTGCCTTCGGAATCGATCGCGCAGCTCCCTCGGGAATGGGTTCTCGCCCAACTTCACATAGCACCAACGTTCCCTCCATCCTTTGTTTGAAGAAGGAGCATCGGAGAATAGTTTGAAACGGGCAATCTGCTGCAGGTTCGCGTATCCCTCGCCGTTTTCGTGCCCCACCCCCCCCGGCACAAATTAAAGCTCTGGAAGAATAGATCCAGGCTGGGCTTCACCCCTCGGGACTTGCAGAGCTGGAGGAACCCCGCAATGTAGGAGTGGTTGTTGAGCGTAAGTTGGCAGGGGACCAAACCAACAAACCTCAGGTACTCCCGGAGGAACGGGTGCAGAGGGAACCTAAGTCCCATAGAAACCGAGAGGACGTGAATGGCGATACACCCCTCGGGCGCCCTGGACAACACGTCGTCAGGACCTGGCTCCACCACTTCGGCCGAGGGCCCCACGTGCAGCTGAGTCACATACAGATCTGCCCTATCGGCTTTCGACCTAATCTCGAGAGCCTCAGTGTTCAACCAACTGTACCCCTCGGGCATGTCCACTGGCTTTCCTTGATCGACAGCCCTCTCCTTCTTCTTGGTAACGGCCTTCGCTTTCTTCTTCTTCAACCCGGAGACCACCCTCAGAGGTATCGGATCTAGCGGCCTCGAGCTACTTGCTTCCCCAGAACCCCCCCCCCCCCCCCCCCCGGGGGGGGGGGGGGGGGGGGGGGGGACAGCAATTGTAACCTTCGTGCTCTCATTCTGCGCCTCATCCTCCGCTACTTGCCATGCGAGGGCTAGGTCTTCATCCTCGCACTCTTGCTCGAAGCCCTCGGCTTCGACCTCAGCAATGAGTTCCTTCTGGACCTCCCGGGCCAGGGCAGCATCAGCACCGACCGAGGGCTCGCTCACGGACTCCGCATCAGAAACGTGCTCCTCATCAACCGAAGGGTCCCCCGATATGTTTTGGGAATCGCTCTCGGACGACATTTTTTACCACGAAATGTGCCTAAGATTTCGAAGGATTTCTACAGGACCCTAACCCTAATCTAAGGCCAGAGGGCGGAACTTACTAAAAGTTTTGAGGGGAAAGCGGGACACTGACCTTGAAAGCTGAGTTTTGACTGAAGGCTTGAGTTTCTCTCTCTAGAATTTTTTGCAGAGCTTCGCTAGGGATGTTGGATGCGTAAAGAAGGAATGGCCTTGGCTTGGGGTATTTATAGGCTCCCAGATCCGGGCTTGGGCCGAGATCCGGGCTCCCAGCAGCCAAAGCCATCATTACGCACCGTCGTTTCACCCAACCGGTGACGCCCGCCCACGAGCAGCCAACGGCTACACTCCACGTGTACCCCCCCCCCCCCAACGGCTATAAATCTGACGCTACATATTCCAACGGCTATATTTCCAACGGCTATATTCTGGAAGCCCCCGGGTTTTCTGCTTCACTCCACTTCATCAAGGAGAGCCTCCGGGTACACTTACCTAGAGACGCCCCCAGGTTGTGCCCCACACAGCACATAACAGACGCCTTCGGGATCACTCCTTCAGAAACCCAAGGCTTCATATCAGGGCACCCCTCGGGGATTCCCACTCAGCACTGTAAGAACCGGGTAGCCCCCGGGGAGTTGCCTCATTGACGGATAGCCTATGGCACACAGGTAATGGGAGCCCTCGGGTATCTTCATCACCAACTAATCAACAAACAATGGACCCCCCGGTAACAACTCCACTGCTGCCCTCATCCATCAGGCCCTCGATCCCCAGATTGAGGGGCTCCCCTTCGGCGCCCCCAGGACATCAACAGCAAGCCTTCGGCCAATCAACACATGAGCCCTCAGAAGAAGAAGAGCCTTCGGCATTACCGTTATTCTCCATTTTTGACCAAGGTTTCACATTTTCGATTCATCATTGGGGGAATTCGGTGCACTCTTTTTCCCTCATTAGGATTTTTTCCCACAGGGTTTTTTCTAATGAGGTTTTTAACGAGGCATCCCCCCAAAATGAAACGAAAAGCGTCAGCCTTCGGCCCACAACAACAACGCAACTACTCTACTCCTTTTCACCACTTTACAAGTGCCTCAAGGAGTGGGGGACTGGAGGACCCGCTCGGGAAAATCATTAAATTACAAAATTAGTGAAATTCCAACAAACGACAAAGCAAGCCCTCAAGTCCCGACATGTGGGTAACTGAGGGACTGCCTTCGGCAGGGACATAAAAGCAACAACTCCTCACCAACTTCAGAGATCACGACAGGACAACATCAAAGGGCAAGCACAAATTACTCCTTTTCCCTCAAATACCTTTCGGCAAAAGGAGTGAGGGACTCCTGATGGAGTATATGGCCCGGGAACACCCGGCCCACAGACTCCTACTACTCCTTTAGAGGCCCAACAGGCCCAGAACGCCCAACAGGCCCAGAAGGCCCAACAGGCCCAAATCACGGCGCCCAGAGTACCAAGCAACCCGCAATACGCACCAGGGGTGCCTTCGGCCCCCTGGCCGAAGGCTCCAAACTATCACAGCATGGATATTTCGAACAAACAGAGGAACTGGGAGAAAACGGCGAAAACAGTAGCCCTCGGCACCTGGAGCCCTCGGCACTCAGGGGTCCTCAATACTAAGAGCCCTCGGCTAGTCCTCTACAGCCGAGGGCACCTCTCCCGACATGATATCCGCCTCACATGCGTACAGATCACCGTACCCTGTACAGACGTCCCATCCAACAGCCGCATTAAATGCGGCCACATGCGGCTGCCAACGCCAACCAGTTGAGGTGACCCCTCGGCCAATAGGCGCTTGACATGTGTCCCTGTCCGGCATTTATTGCTACTATAAATAGCACCCCATTTCCCCATTTGTAACGACGCTAAAAACGCTCCACATTTATAATACACTCTCTCTCTCTACATTTACTTTCTCTGACTTCTCTCTAAGTTATCCCCAGCAATAACCCTTCGGATATATACCTCCGGGTAGACTATCCATCATGCTTCCTCCGTTTATATTTCAAAAACAATTAGAATAATGCTCATGGATATTATTTTCTGAATAATTATTTGGGGGCTTGTATGCCTAATGATGCCAAGTGTGGCTTGAACACTTGTATTAATGTTTCCGCTGCTTTAAATGAATATTTTACATTATGTTTGTTTATGGATGTACTACGTGTGAATGATATTCCAGACGCCTTATATAGTATGGATGAGCTGGACTACGGTTGACTCTTCGTACTGTACGGCAGGTTGTTGACGTGTCCGGTAGGTCCGGGGCGTGACAATTTAATTGGTATCAGAGCCTTAGTTCGTAAACTTCATAATGAAGCTTCAAAATTCTTTTTGAAAACGAATTTGAAAACCATGAGCATAAGAAGTTTCATACTTATAGAACTTTTGGTACTTGAGTTGCAATGTCTCTAATTATTAAGATGGTACCCTTAACAATTGGTATGGCGGTGATTTGAGCCAAAGGGTGTCTGTAAGTGCCTATCCGTCAATTGACACTTGATACGAGTCTAATGACTCATTCTCAAATTCTTTCAGAAATGGAACGTACCGGAAAGGTAGCTAGGAGGAACCCGACTAGCCGGGCACCAGGAGGGTCCGAGCACGGCAATAGAGGGACTTCTAGTGTGTCCAGGGGACAGGGCCGTGCAGGCCACTCGCTGACCGTAAGTGACGGTCATGTTGAAACAGTGGATGAGCATTATGAGTCCGAGGAGGATTCAACTTACCGATCGGGGACTGAACCGGTTGAAACCCCATATGATGGGGAAGACGACGACATTAGTGAAGAGAGTGATGATAATGACGCTCTAGAAAGAATTGAGGAATTGCTCCAGCAATACCAATAAGATCGCCAAAGGCGCCGGGCAAGGCGTGCTTTGGGAGGGGCTTCGAGGAGAGGAAGCCCTGTTAGTCCTAGGGGACATGTCGAGTCCCGGGGAGGTAGAGGTGTTGAGGTCCCAATAATAAGGATCTCGAAATACCTCAAAGAAGCAAGGGATTTGGGATGTAAACCGTTTGATGGGACGGGATACATCTCTATTACGGCCGAATGGATCAAGAGATTCAATGAAGCGGCCCTTGATATGCAGTTGCCTCCGAACATGAAGATGAGGGTGGCAACGAGATTGCTGGAGGGAATGGCATCCACATGGTGGGATGGAGTCAAGGGGAGGTACGGTGAGATCGTCACTTGGGAGGACTTTCGACAGGAGTTCTTTAGTCAAGACTACTCCGACTTTGAAGTGAACGCGAAGAGAAGGGAGTATACAAACTTGACTCAAGGGGGTGAATGCACCGTGAAAGAACTTGAGCACAAATTTAGAAAACTTGCTAAGTTCATACCAGAGTACATTTGTGATGAGAACCGGATGGTGAACCACTTCTGGAATGCCTTGGACCTTGACATACGCGAGAGGGCGACACAATTGCCTAATATGACGTTATGGCGTTTAGTCAAGTGGTTGAACAAGGTTTGAAGGCGGAAAAGGAGTGGGAAGAAAGAAAGATGAAAAACGCTGAAGAGGCGAAAAAGAGGAAGTGGGAAAACCACGGCCCCCAAGGTCCTAGCAAAAGAGAGAACCACGGGGGAGGAGGATCATTCAGGGCACCCACACCACCATTTAGGAGAAATTTGAGCATGTGAGGGCAACACTCGAGGTCACACGCCTCGACGACACCAAGGTGTCGGAATTGTAAAAAGAACCATACGGGCAAGTGTCGTGATCCCCCTAGGTGTTACCAATGCGGGGAGGCGGGACATATGAAGATGGACTGTCCTCAATTTAGTGGAAGTCGGGTATCGGGGCCGAGTAGTGCTGCCACGGCGAGTAGAAACCGGACAGTGGCACCTCATGCGAACATAGGGCACGGTGGAGCGAGTGCAAGCAATGCGCCATCTGTAAGCCAAGGGAAGACCCAAGCTAGGGTCTATGAAATGACCGAGGCGGATGCTCGTGCCAACCCGGACTCCGTTACGGGTAACCCTCTATAAACTTTTGTTATGATATGTGTGAGAATCATAAGAAACATGTGTTGTGCAAACCTAAGCTATACTTGTATGGTTGGGACAAGGAGGGGAGGAATTTCCCCATTCTGGGAAAAAGCCGACCGGGCTTCATATAAGCCGCCCGACTTTCGTCTCTAATTTATTTAATAAATACTACGGTGACAAACGCGGCCAGCGGACGGGAAGTTGGGTTCTCGTGAGAAATTGGTGAAGCACAAAAGCTGCCCGGGATTAGGGAAATCCGCCCGGCTTTTGTAATTTAATTTCAGAAAATACTACGGCGTTGAGTACCGGCCAGGTTTCACCAAAGCCCGGCCGGCTTTCGTTATTGGGAAAATCTTGCACAGCTGAAAACCGGCCAGCGTTTGCAAAGCCCGGCCGGGTTGTGTGATTTAATTATGAATTAAACTACGGCGGAGAATGTCGGTTGGGTTTCGTCGAAACCGGCCGGCTTACGGGGGAAATCCTGACGACTTTTGGGCTTGCACGAACACCGGCCGGCTTTTGCAAAGCCCAGCCGGCTTTCGCCCGGTTGAGTCTTAGGACGGTTCTAAACGTTAAAAACCGGGGAGTTTTGGTAGAACACCGAAGGGCATTCATCTATACCATGGCCGATGTACTCTATGACTTTAGAAATGAGTCTAATTAAGTAGAAAGTGTGCCTTACATGGAGATTGAGGTGTAGGAACACTAAAGGTGTGAGGGGAAGATGATAGAATCATCCTTAATACGGAGACGTGTTAAGCACATGTGAAAGGGGGGCACTTATAATTAGAAATGATACGACGATCGATATATACTACTACATAACGATAGTAGGGAATAAAGGAAATTGAGCGTAAGGTTTAATATCGTTGAGTACGATTGGAACCCATATAATATTCCTTGATAAGGAATGAGTTGGGAAGCATGGTGCTAGGATCGGCTATTAACCGGGAGGTTGAGAACTCGAGGGAAATAAGGGTGGGGCCCTACGCTCCGAGTTGTAAATGAACAAGTTGAGTAGACTTGTGTTACCCAAAGAGAGAGTAAGGTCATCGGTAAGAAGAACCGTGAATATTATATAACATATGAATGGGACATTAAAGCTTGACGTAAGAAATTGTTAACGAGGAGTCTATGTAAGACTTAGATAATGGGTGGAACCGACGATTGATTATCACCGAGTGATATAATACCATACAAAAGAGACCAACATAGTGGTAAAAACACCTAACTGATTTGTCTTAAACGTTACTCATTATTGTATGAGTATCGGGAGCTCGCGAGGGGATAACAAAGAATCTGAGGAACCAAATGAGGGTGTAGTGTTATATCCATCCACCTATGGGTGGGCAGGTCGAGTATGAGAGGCAAATTTTGGAGCTAATGATGGTTATTTATTTTGAAATCCCATGAGAGTTGGGGCTGGCACTTGATACATGGGAGTCCTTTGTAGCAATGGTTACCTGGCGAGTATTTGGTTGCTTCCACGGGGATCGTTAGGTGAGACGAGACAGTTAGCATGACTGTAACGAAACGGAATTTAAGCTTTGTTTTGGGCATTTCTTAAGGGAGAACCCACGGTGACTAGATTGATGAATCGATCCTAGACTTACGATTTGCCTATGAATTGCATCTTAACAAGGTATAGATGGGCAACATGAATTGAGAACTAGATCGTTCTAAGATTAATCCGGCTAGTATTGAGATACTAGTTGGGGTGTATGGACTATGAAAGAATGAATGCTAAGGGCTTGGATTGTGAAAGATATACCTTAAGTAGTCTTATGAGACACTTTAAGGTAGGAATGTGTAAATGCTAAGTTAAGCTAGGAGTATGCCTTAAAGGCTACTAAATATGAAGTGGTCCTAGGCATAGAAATTGCTTAGGGACTTAGTAACGTGACTAATAGCAAGGCTCTAGCACGTCATAACGGTGACTAAGAGCGAGGCTCTAGCACAATGTAGGGTGACTAAGAGCGAGGCTCTAGCACAATGTAGGGTGACTAAGAGCGAGGCTCTAGCACAATGTTGGATGACTAAGAGCGAGGCTCTAGCACAATGTAGAGTGACTAAGAGCAAGACTCTAGCACGATGTAACATGACAACGAGCAAGGCCCTAGCATGGTGTAATGATAATAAATGAGCACAACTCTCTTGTAGTGAAATAATGCGTTAGGGTAAAGCCTTAGAACGACATAATGACTTACCAGGAGTTCATGATAACCGCGGCTAGTAGTCACGGGGAATAGGGAAGAGTGTTTCTAAATGAACACGGACCCACGCCCAGCTACATATTCGTATGTAAGTAAATATGTTTTAAAACGGGATATGCTATAAGGTCCTAGGGAACCTTGAAGTCAAAGGTTAATGAAAATTGTTAATAATGATTCACCTTGGGTGAGGATTATCGGATTTACATGCCAAGGAACATAACCCATCTAGTAGGGTCACTTGAAAATTCTAGAGAGAATTGACGCCCAAGTATGAAAGGAATTGCTTATTGTGTGATTACACATGTAAATGATAATGCATAGGGGCAACGATGATACAATGATTAAGATATTTTGTAAAGTGATCAAACCAACGTTGAAACTTGGAAAAGTGTCTACTCCATGAATAGAGTAACACTGGTTAAAATGAAATGGCGACGTGAATTTCAGGGACGAAATTCCTGTTAAGGAGGGTGAAGTTATGACACCGCTCCCAATTTGAACTTGGATTTTTAATTCATCAATATTAAAAATTTACTTGGAAAGTACAAATACAAATTTCGATGAGGATGACTAGTTGAGTTCATGAATATTTATTCATATTAAGAACTAGTTACAAGTATATCAATCATACAAGAAATGATTTACTGGTCAAATTAATAACGATTAATTATATTGTGTGTCGGACCCTAAAAAAATGGGGAGGGACTAACTAGTATATTCTTGAACCATGGGAAATTAATTAAAAGCCCAAGAATAAGGAAATGAGTTACATATGAATGTGTGGGCCGAACAAAAGGTAAAAGATTAATACGAGAGACTATTCGAGCCATTTACTAATAATAGAAATAAAAAGGGGGTTGGGGCCCGAAATATTGGAGAGGACTATCCAATGGATTTTAGGATCAACCTAATAAGGTCTACTAGCCTAAACTAATATAAATAAATGAATAAAAGTCATTTGGGCCAGACCAAGATAGATTGAATAACCGAAGTGACATTTGAGCCCAAGTTACCAAAAATAGCAGGTATAAGGGTGGAGGCTTCCTACACTTTAATTTAGGGTAGCCCATATGATATAGAGTCCAAGTAAAATGAATAGGAGCCTAACTAACACATTGGGTCAGAGTAAATTAAAAATAGACAGCCCACGAACCTAACCCAACTAAATTGGCCCAACCTTACTAAAAATAGTAAGGATAAATGAGGGAGCCTTATCCTCTCCTCTCATTTTTATCCATACGTATGAGAGCTAAGAAAGATGGAAAGGAGGCTTGAAGAGCTCCACACTCACAGCAAGAAGTCAAGAAGAAAGAAAGCCAAGAAGAGGAGCAATCCGAGAGAAAACAAAGTCTAGCGATAAGAACCTCGTAGCTCTGGTTCTTGTTCTTCCATTTAATATAAATTTTTCGTATATGATTTTATAAAAATCATATGATGGATTCCAGGGGATGTTCTACACGTTTAAAGGTGTAGAAAAATGATATAAAGTGTTGGTATTTAACTTAGAAGAATTGTGGAATCGACAGGAATCGAAATCGCCAGAAACCGCCATTGCTAGGAACTGTTTTCGTGCTGCAGGGTCCGAAAGCCGGGTAACTTTTGCAAAAGTCGAGCGGCTTTTGCCCTCTGCCAGCCAAGTCCATCTCGGATCGAAGGTTTAACGATGGGGTTTTAATAGGAAGGCTTGTTGGACATATTTGAGGTGAGGATGACTGACTATATTACTTATAATTAGTGAGTTAATTTCATAAGATTACCTAAAGTAATAAAATGTGATTTTCTTGGATTATTAATGATTAATAATGCCTAAATGAAAATGCTATTGTTTATGAGTAAATGAAGCATGATATACAAATTTGGAAGAAATTGTGTATGTTTATGTGATATGAAAGTGATGACATGATAATGGAATTAACTATGAAAATATTGTGATAAAATATATTTTTACTTCACGTATAGAATTCGTGAATGGATAAAGGTGATACGTAGTATTTTTTATATTGAGATTAAATTGTATTTGGATTGGAAAATCAATTGAAATGAAATGTTGATTATGAATTATGAACTTGGTTGTTCTAAGATTATCCGACTAGTATTTCAATACTAGTCGGGAGATTAATATAAATAAATGATGCAATTAATCTTAAGAGATAGGATTGTGAAACTCAATGGTGTGAGTTTCAACCTAGATTACTCCAGAAAGTCTCGTGTTCGAAACTCAATGGAGTGAGTTTCAACCTAGATTACTCCAGGCTTCCCCAGCCCCCTCCCTCAGACGCCTCTTGGAGTAAAAAAAAGAACTAGATTTTTGTCACTTCATATTTTGACATTAGTCTTAAATTCCCCAAAATTTCTAAGAAGAATGACACTTTGGATAGTTAGAAACAAATTTTCATTGAAGGTTTTTATAATGTCCATGATGCACATTGGCTAAATCCTCGCATCTTAATCTTAAGTGATTGACATACACAATGACTAGCCAACTTAGATCGACCTAAAATATATTTTGATTGGAAGCATTTTATTATGTACTTGAATAATGCAACTGCATTTTTCCAAGCAACCAAATTTTTTTTGGAACTTTTAGAACTTACGTTCACGTACTACTTTAATTGTACTCTTACAATACTTCCTCCTCCGCCATGAAAATGGTCACGTTTCAAGAGTTCTATTGTCATAAAAAAAGAAACATGTATGATACATAAAGACAACTTTGTAAGATAACTGCCAAAATTGAATAACGAACAAGAATAATGAATTTTAATGGATATACATATAGTTAAGGTATCAAAGAAAATTTTAAAGTTTAAGTATCATTATGACTTGTAAGAGTTGTGTCTTGCAAAGTTGCAAAAAAGATTATTGAATAGACAACACAATCAGTGAAAAACTACATTCTGATTTTTTTAATGACGGAATGTTACTGCTAAACATTCATTACCGAGTAGGCAGTGAGGCTCCTTCACAATCTTTAAAGATACTTTCTAGCAAGAGCTCTAACCTTTGTATCGAAATGAGACGACGTAATTCCAGGGCCAGGTAAGTAGAGGGGATTAAGAAGAGACTGCAAATTCAAATTTAAAGCTTGGTCAACTTCTTGTTGTCTATCGAGAGGTTGGCCCAGGTCCAATTCTGGAGCTAAGCATGTAAAAACAAAAAGGAAACATGTTTTTTTGTTCCATACCAGCACAGGTACCCAAAACCGATCCAAACTGGTTCCGGTTATTTATTTTTTATTTTTAGAAATAGGCTAAAAACACGGATCAAGAACCGCACCGCAACATGAACCACTATACACAGTCAAGGATCTGGTTCCCCCATTACTTAACCCATAACAGGCGGTCCATCCCCTATATGCATCACAGTAATAAAAAAGAAGTGCAGTAGCAAGAACCTTTCGTGTAATAAAAGGTAAAAATTATATACTGGAAAAGACACTAGTATTCTAGAAATGTGCCATTAATGTCCAATTGAAAATAGAGTTAAAATTTTCAAATGAAACCCTATTAAGAAGTACAAATAACAAACCTTTATATAAAGCTCGTGAACTTCTTGGAAAAAGCTTTTGATTCCATCATCATTGCGAGAATCATGAAGCAGCATCAGCCGGGTATGTTTGGCCAAATAGTCAAAGAAAACTATACATATTTTCCAAGAAAATCTAAGAAATAAATCAAGGTTCTAGCGATTTTAGTTTTGTTATTGAAGTTGACTTATCAAACCGAGTGATACACCTATAAGACGAGTTGAGATGTGTGGAGAAGAGGCAGGGAAGAGAGGGAGAGGAAGACCCAAACAAACGTGGGTTAGGGGAGTTCGAAGTGATATGATTCTTCTGAGGTTGGATGAGGGCATGACTAGGGATGGATTCGGGCCGGGTCGGGCCCGGGCCGGGCCGCCGGTTCGTATCAGATGGGCCCGGGACCGGCCCGAGGGTTGGACAGGTCCGGTTCGGGCCGGGCCACCCGCCCGGGTCACGGGTCGGACCCGGTTCGGGCCGGTTAATTTTTATTTAATAATTTATATTTTATAGTTTATAGTTTTATACGAGTATTAAAAACAAACTTCAGTTGCATTTATTTGAAATGAAATAGGAACTACATTTGAAAATTAAAATAAACTTGAAGAGATAAACATTTTGAAAATTGTAATCAATCGGAACTTCCCGCACCTCCCGATCTTTTGGTTTTGTCACATGACTTCATATGCTTGATTGCCATCCCGAATCCGCCTGAAGCCCCCATGCTACATTTTTTCTCGCACCATTTGCAAATTGCGTACCACATCCCGGTCTTCGGGTCCTTCAGCTTATCAAAATTATATCGTATAATGGCATCTTGATTTTCCATCTTAACTTCTTAAGTATAAACTATAAAGTAGATATATAAATAATAAATATAATATATTGGAGAATAAGAGAATTAGAGAGTTAAGAATAGGATTTAGGAAGAATTGGAGAAGAGATATGAAAAAATGTTTAACAAATAACAACAAAATATAACCACCTGAAAGTGCCAATTCAAACCCTTCAAATTTTTTATCCTGTATAGAGATAAAAAATGCGTACTTGCGCAGCTCCAACTTCGGCTTCATAGATGGGCATTCCTACTCACGATCATAAAACATGAAGTACTCGCCATCCAGACGCAGATCTAGCATAGCAATCCAGTCAGGGACAAAATGTAATAATAACAAATAACTTCGATACTAAATGTGAAAACTTAGTCATTTCACCTAATTACCTTGTAACATTAATCTCACATTAATCAACAATGTAAACACACCTACTCACTTTATCACATTAATCTTACTCTCCCCTGTAAATTGAATACCTGAATAAAAAAAAGTGATACTCTGCGGTTGGCAGCATTCTAATTATTCTGATTACCGGTAAGTTGCTGGTTGTTTCAGGGTTTGGATCCCTTAAAGAAAAAACAGGTTGCAGGTTTTAGGCAGCATTCGAAATCGGAACTCAAAAACAAGGTTTACATTACAAGATTCATAGCAGAAAACACCCTAAGATTCTGGATATAAAGCTGAAATAAAAAATTTAACAAAATAAAACTGGAACTACAAGAGCCTGAAATCAGAAGACCAAAGAATTACTGATTGTAGACTCGGGGTATTAGGGCGGCGTAGACCGAACTGCGTGAGTGCGTGACCCACTCGGAGTGACAGAGCTACAGAAGGAAGACGGTGGGCGGTCAGAATTTGGATTTGCCTAAGGTCTGCGACTTGAGATAATTCAGTACAAGCGTCTGTCAAACAATTTAGATTAGACCACATGAAAAACAATTTAATCCTAATTTTGTAAAGTTAGTGGCATGTTTGGATCGACTAATTTTGCTGATTTATGAAAAAGTTATATTTAAATATTTTTTATTAATAACATATAGAAAAAATTATATGAAAAAAAAGCTAAAATAATTTTTCACGGTAACTTCAATCAATATAGCCAGAAAAGTAACTGCAACCTTACTTTTTCTTATTATTACACAATTCAACGAGCGAAATCAAAACTTACATGTTTGGTGAAAAAGTTGACGGATAAACTCGATAAGCCAAAAAACAGTGCTACTAAACGAGCTCTTAGTACAATTAAAAACGTCTAAATGCTTTTGTACATTTAGTATAAAGTAGGCATAAGCCCTTTTATTTTCTTCTCATATTTTCTTCTCATATGATGATTTTCTTCTGGAAATGCCTTTACTTTTATTCTAAAAATTCTATATTTTTACAATGTGAAAATGTTATGAAAATGTTATGAAAATGTGAAAATTCTATATTAGTACAATTAAAAATTCTAAAAATTCTATATGAAAATGTCATTATCATGTCATTATTCATATCAAATGACATTCTCGCTTGTTGTAGGAGCTTGCCGGATAGCGACGACTTCGTTAATGAGAGTCTAAATGCCATTATTATGTCATTATTCATATTAAGTGAAAATGTTATGTTTCTATATGATAATGTCATTATTATGTCATTATTCATATTAAGTGACATTTTCGTTTGATGTTGTAGGGGTTTGCCAAATAGCGACGACTTCATTGGAAGATGGTGACGGCGAGCGCAACAAAGGGCGGTGGTGGTGACAGACTTGTTGCAGGGTGGATGAGACCTAGTGCATACGCTTCTAGCAACTTCTAGCATTGCATCGTTGAAATAGAAGACACGGGCATCGATAGAGGGCATCGCATTGCATCGTTGAAATAGATTTTTTTACTTTTTTCATTAAGAGTACCTTTGTCATTTTAGGCCATTTTCAGTCCTATACAACATAGAGGTAATATTTTTGCACTTTTACATTGTTTTTGTCCTATTTGGGATATTCTCTCTTTACTTTTTTTTATTTAACCACAACGTACTATACATATCCATTTTATTCTCACATTTTTATACTTCGATCAAAGTCAAACCGGAAATAATTTTATGGGATGAAGAGAGAAATAATATCATCAGATTGAAGTGCCAATAACAACTATCAGACTTATCACCTATCCTGATTTTATTTTTAAAAGATACAAGTGACTTTTCCAAACACGCGACTCAATCAAATAAGATAAACAATACAAAACATAAATAGTAGAAGAGATTTGAAGAAAATATGAAACATATGTCAAAGATTGTAGGATCTTTCGAATCCCAATTCTTACACCGTGCGCACGATGTAGCAGCCCCTAAAACGACATAGTTTTGTTATTAAAAAAATAAAAGTAAACCCACGTTGCAATTTAGCGATGAATAGGGGACTAATCGGGATCCACCGCCTATCAAGGGCGCGTCATAGACCGACTTAAGGAATTCAGCCGGAGAAGGAGATGGGAGCTGTGAGACTGCTGAGCAAAGGACTGCAAACGACGGTAGAGTGGTAGAGTGGTGATCTGTTGCCTCCTTTGCAGCGACAGAGATGGAAGCGGCATCCATGGTAGCCTGAGGCAAAGCTTGGCCACCACCTATTCAATGATGATTTGGCTGGACGTCGACACTAATGATGACCCCTATAGGATGACGACCAGCAGTGCCTGGACCCTCACGCTTCGTATCTGGCGCTCCAACGTATTAGACATGGATGTTATAAATAAAATATGTTGTTTTTCATCCGTGCATGTTTCTTCAAGCTTTGTGTGTATGCTGCTATGGAGCAAGTCTACGGTTGTAATTTTGTATCATTCTAGTAGTAGGTCATTTTGGGACTTGAATTGGAGCCCATTAGGACTTATGAGTGACCTTGTCCATGGGATCAACTTTGACCACTCTTTCCACATTGATATCCTCCCTCTTGATGTCCAAGAGGCTCTGGGACAGTCCCCTTGTGTTTGAGGACATGAATAATAAGGTCCTCTCAAAAAAATTCTCATTTTTATTTATCTAGAAAAAGTTACATTTTTATTAAAACGATTTACATATCCATTTATCTCAAGTTACATATCTATTAGTATGAGTTACATTTCAATTTTCTTCCATAAGTTATATCTTGTTTACATATGATTTACATTTGCCATAATGCGAGTTACACCACAAAACAATGCGAGTTACATAACAAAATAAACTCTTGTTATTCAAACAAAAATGAATTTTTTATTAAATATCATTTTTAATGGTCATGATATTAAAAAACAAAACGTGTATACTATTTATGAAAAATAACCGAGCCATTAAACTCCTTTTTCCATTATTTACATTGAAATCAATGTTTTACTTCTTATATTCTGTTTTAGATAACATACATGTCAACTTGACTCAAGTTACATTTCTTAACAATGTGAGTTGCTCCCTCCGTCCCGCAAAATAGTTCCCCATTTCCTTTTTGGGTTGTACCAAAAAATAGTTCTCATTTCTCTTTTTAGAAAGTGTTGTGTGTCTACCATTCATTTACCTTTTTCTTACTCACCACAACCATACATTTCCACTTTATTCCCACTTTCTTAAATTCCGATCCAAATCTTAGTGGGAACTATTTTATGGGACGGAGGGAGTACATTGTTTTAAACACGAATTACACCAGCTTGCTGTTGAAATTAAAAAAAGAAAAGCCTGGGAGTAGGATGGTCAATGTGAGCCGGGAAAAATAATAAAAATACCCCAAACTTTGAAGGGGTGTGAGGTAAATATCCTCAACTTGCATATGTAATTTAAATACTCTAAACTTTAAATAAAAAGTTATTTTTGCACAATTGTCATGTATTATTTCTTTCAAAAATGTAAATTTATGGGGTTAATTGCATAATTTAAAGTTTTAAACAGAAAATTAAAAGTGTTGCAATTATATAGATTGGAGGTAACATTATTTAATTTCGAATGCAAGCTTAAAATGTTAATTGTGTCTTCATGAATTCTAAAATATTTTAAATTATGCAATTAACACCATACATTTTTTTTACATTTTTGAAAGAAATAATAGTTGCTATGGTGCTAAAATAACTTTTTATATAAAGTTTGGGGTATTTAAATTACATATGCAAGTTTGGGGTGTTAATCTCACACCCCTCTAAAGTTTGGGGTATTTTAATTATTTTCCCCATGTGAGCCTCTCCCACAATATAAACTAAAAGATTAAAAAGTCTTTAACCGGAAAATAGTGAACAAGAATCTTGGAACGAGACATAGGTAGTAAGTATTTGTTGACATCTCTAACTTTTTTCATCTTTCCTCACACATCACTATCTCCGAATTAAATTAAAATAAATAATTATTGTCCTAAACAGGACTCAAGATTCCTTAAAAAGCACAAATAATACTTTTTAAATCTCCCAAACAGGACTAACATTGATTTTCTACCCTAAATACCTCTAAGGGTATTAATTCATAATCAAATGTTTTAATGCACAATAAAACCATAAAAAATAATAAAAATTATTAAAAATATTAATAAAAATGTTTGTAAAATAAAAAAAATATTTTTTTTGTTTTTAAAAAAAAATACTAAAAACCCATAAAAAAGTATGGATACCTTTCCCATTGTGACAGTTGGAGTTGCAATACAATTTTAGTCTTCCATTGTGATCATAATGAAGTTAATCAAGCACTTAGGCTGATCTCAAGAATGGACAAATATGGTGTCCGACCAGATCGTCATACGTATAATATGGTTCGTAAAATGCTCATTAGGGTTGGACGGTTCGATAGAGTAGAGAAAGTTTGGGAAGGTATGGAAGGAAGAGGATATTACCCTTCAGTCTCTACATATGCCGTCATGGTCCATGGCCTCTGCAGGAAGAAGGGAAAACTTGAGGAAGCTTGTAAATATTTTGAAATGATGATTGATGAAGGAATACCGCCTTATGCCTCAACATGTGAGCTGTTGAGGAATAAACTGATCGGCTATGGCTTTGTAGAACAGAGAGAAATACTTGGGGATAAGATGGAGAGAAGCACTTAATGTTCAATTCAGGAGCTAGCTACCTTAATAAGAGGTGGCAATAGGGTTTGTGTAAAACACAGAGATGAAGAGGAATACTCTGATGATGAGAGTGACAATCAATTACAGAGCTTCATTTCCCCATATATGGATAAATGAAGAACTAGTATTCCCTTTAGAGATGGTCTCTCTTATTCTTCAGTTATATATGCATGAACTAATGCAAAAAACAACCTGGTCCATGAGAGTCCATGGAAGGGTCCCACTAGAAGGATAGATTTTAGGACTTTGCTCCCAAGATTTGGACCCATGACCTACTACTCATGGTCACAACATGACACCTCAACACATGTGTCAAGGCTTCCATATTTTTAGTTATACATGAACTATATAGTGCCAACACTAGTGGTCTTACTATATTTTTTCTCAGCCTCAACTGTTTTTTTGTTCATGTTGCTGAAGTGTTAAACTTACCTAGCTATTGGGCGCATAAGATTGTGAAACTTGCAATGTCGTTTTTACCTTGTGTTAAGCTTAAAGCTTATAGCTTCCATAATGTGAAAACGGTTCCAAATCGCAACCAAATATATTTATTTGTTGTTGAAAAGTTGAACATGAAATTTATTCTCTAGTGATTTGGTTAATATGAAACTATCGAATGTTTTGCTCTATAATCCTTACATATCGCCCCAATTGCTCGTGTTTAAACAGGAGCAATACATTGTAGTACATATACACAAAGAGTAGTCTTATTTGTGATTTTACTAATTTTGCTATTTGAATTCTTAAAAAAGTATATGCAAGAATAAATAAATTCCAAAATACGAATGTATCATTGTTAACTAATAATATAATTTAATTAATTATTTAACATAATAATAATTGTAGTAGTAGTTGTAGTAACAATAACGGTACTAGAATTGTATTCAAAGTGAAATTACTCCTTACGTAATTTTGACCATTGAAATGAGAAAATAAGACTACATCACTTTAATTGAAAAAACGGTGACAAAAGTGTAAACAAGAACTTTTTATGAAAGTAAAAAGTGATAAGATTGCATTGTTAAAGCAAAATGCATTTGTGTAATATAAGTGCACCAACATCCACATTAAAATATCTATTTGAAAATTTGCTTAGTGATATTTTTTGGCCACGTGAGCTTTTACTAGGGTTAATTGTCAAAATATGTTTTAAAGCTGGTCACTTTGCACAAATAGGACCAAAAAGTAAACTATGTTTTGATAGGACTAATTATGTGTATGTTGGACAAATATACCCTTGTTGCTATTGAAATGTGTTAATTCATAATAAAATAATAAAAATTCGTAAAAAATACTAAAAAAATAATTAAAAAAATTAAAATTTATAAATTTTGTATTAAAAAAAGCAAAAAGAAAAAAATCAACGCCGTCTCTACCGCCCCAACACCACCACCTCCAATCACCAAGGAAAAAATGCCACATCTATTACGAATGCTATATTTATGGCAGGCAGATTCAATGAAAATTTTGGCATTCTCAAAGAGTAATATGACATCTTTTTTGCATTTTCAGAAAAAAATGGCAATTCAATTTATGTTTACCCATATATAAATGTTCAAAACTAGATATAGCAGTTGCTCTATATAAGCATAGTGCAGAAGAAGAAAAATAACCCAAATTAGAACATAAAATGTAGTTAAAAACTAACCACTTCTTTCCCATTAGAGCTTGAATTTTATTTTTACTTTATTTTCAGAAAAAGCAAATACAAATAATCCTTGGTCTGTATTGACTCTAAATAAGCCCCAGTTATAATCCCTAGTAATACGTACTATACTAAGTAACCCAAAAAAAATTCAGACTACATTAATAAACAAGAAACTTTTACAAAACAAAAAGTAAAATTTCAATTATCAAACAATATGAAAAGGACAAGTTATTGGAAAAGCATACCTCAAAACTAATGACGAGCAGCAGTCTAATCTTTCACCATCCAGTACGTAGAAGCTTAAAGAAGGAAAGCTAGTGGAAGGTATTTTGGATCATCTGGCTTCAAATTGGTGCGGCGACCTTCTTCCCCTTCGATTTTTTAATTGAGTACTGAAAGGCTGCCCTAATTTAGCGTAAGAACTGGGTTTGAAGGTTGGCTACGACATACAAAATAATAAGGGTATAACGGGATATTTGAAAAAAAAAAAAAGAAACGCTGTTATTCCTTTATTCTGATAGGGGCGGGTAAGCACGTTTAATGAAAACACAGGGGGGTTGTGTGCATTTTTTATAACAAAAGGGGGTAACACGCAACATTTTGAGATCACAAGTGGATTCTATGCATTAAACCCGCATGGATATATAAGCATGATTACCTGTGATGCACAGATTCTTTAATTGCTTGCTGCATCCGCATTAATATGACACATTTACATTAACCTAAAATCAAATAAGAATATTGTATCATTTTACACATACTGGTGTGACATACTATTGTACAAGCATAAGCATTTCACATGCATGAGAGATAGAGAGATATTGTGCCTAGAAAAAAGTTTAGAAATAGGCTTATGCATGCAATGTACTTTTTCTAGGAGAAGGGTACCTTAAAGATTATGTCACTTCTGTTGTAGATTCAGAACTCTTGGATTGGCATTTTTTGCAAAAATACAATAAATAATTGTATTTTGTGGTTATTTATCCATTACATTGCATCTATGGTCCACCAGAAAACAGAATGAGGGCAGCTTCCAGCTTCAGTTGAGCTGCATAAACAAGGAGGCTGGCAGTTCAGTTCCCTCTTTTACTCATTTTGATATTAGGGACTCCATTGCTTTCAATTTATCTTCAGAAAAGGGAGGAACTCTTCTCTTGGCTAAACTAATGATAAATCGAGCCTTTCCCATCCCTATAGACCCACCATGCATCTGTAGCCCTTGAAGTAGAATAATAATACTATCTACATTTGGGAACCAATTATTTTTCATACTATCTTTGCACATTGTATAAGCAGAGTCAAACTCTCCGGCTTTACATAGGTAATGAATCATGGTTTGGTAAATTTTTTCATTGGACTTCAAACCATGACCATGCATAGAAGAGTAGACCCTATTAGCCACATCAAGAAAGCCGGCTCGGCTTAATCCTTTAATTACTAAGTTATAAGTAATCTCATCAGGATTTATCTGAAGCTTATGCATCGATTCCAATAATTTATTAGCATCCCATGCTCGTCCTCTACTGACCAAGAACTGTATCCTAGCATTAAAAGTTGCAATGTTTGGCATGCATCTCTTCAGCAACATAAGATTCCACAAGCCATTACTGATCTCTGCTTTATTAACTTTGTAAAAGGCAGATATAAGTGTTGTATATGTAACTACATCTGGACTAATTCCCTCCTTTTCCATCTCAATCATTACCAGATAAGCCTTATCCAAAATACCCATTTCGCAAAATGCCTTGATGATAATGTTTAATGAAAATATATCTAAATGAATATTGAATTTCAAAGATACGTCTCTAAGCAATGACAAAATTGCCTCTGAATCATGTGACTGAGCCAAAACCTTGAGAGAAGCGTTGAGAGACTTAACCGTCCTTTGGCAACCATATAAATGCATATTATAAAAAGTATCAACAGCATGTTTCACCATTCTAGCTTTCCCATACAGCATTATGATGCGAATTATAAAACCTTCACGTCTACCCTGAGGTAGAGCCTTCTGCTGCTCAAGTAGGGTTTCAATGTAATCAAATCTGCCGGCTCCGGCTAAGCGAGAAATTGTGTCCTCAAATGCAAACCGGTTCTCAATCACAAGCTTATTGTGTGCATTTTCCTTGAACAGATGAAACAGCTTATCAGGATCTCTTTCTTTTTTCAGCTTTATAAGGGCAGGTTCGTCCACTTTTATGGGATTTTTCTTGGCAATCGATCTATTATTAGTAGCAATGCTGAGTTTATCTTTAGATGCAACGGTGGCGGCCACTGGAACACCAGGTGTAGTTCCAAATCTGCAAACCAGTCGTAGAGATTGCATGTTCAGAGGCAGCCCTCGCTTTCAAGGGCACCTACAGGTCAAGATTGTATATTTGGTTACCCTTCCATCAAAATCATTGGTAACCATTGAAAACTGAATGAATCGACTGAATAGAATAGAATTAATGAAACCCTATTAAAGGCATGGGCACGCTAAACCTGGAGACATATTAAGTTGGAGACTAGTCGGGCATGCCATGGGAACGTGCCGGACATTCCATGTGGCGTATTATCCCAGTAACATTATGCCCTTTCATCAAAATGTACCCTTATAAAAGTCAGAATGTTTGTACACCAATAAGCATCCTACCACCATAAGCATCAACTGAAATAACAGTAGGTAAAATACCTTGTCTTTCGAGACTTCCCTTTCCCAAACATGGTGGTAGGATGAAAGGGCATAATGTTACTGCTCCTTTTTGTTGTAAGAGTATAAGGTTGGATGTAATGTTACATTTTGGTGTAAGGGAGTAACTGATGTTGTTACCTTACTGTTAATGTTAGTCTACTAGTTTAAATATGTTTAAGAACCTGTTGATATGTTACTCAACTTATTTAGTTAAGACTCTGTTTTAATTTGTTTTGAAACACTAATTTGTTTTTAGTATATACTTTTATTTGTCCAGTAGTGTTGTTAAAAGAAAGATACATGTATTCTACTCCGTGTTTACTTTATAAAAATTCAGATTATGGAATAAAGAGCTATCTTCACCTTTCACAAGACCTCAATTGAACTTTGGTTTATTAAATTAAACTTTAGAAAAGTTTTCAAACATTGGATTAAACTGTAGTAATCTGTTAAGCTTTCAACATTCAATACTTTTCAAAAAAATTAAGAGAGGGTAGCTGGGTTCAAGCAACAGATTTTACATACAACAAAAATATAAGAACTGATTTTGTTCTTCCTAAAAGAATCAAGGGAATCCCAAGAATCAAACATAACAGGGCCGATCCCGAGAAAACGAAGACCCTGTGCAACAATAAAATTTGGGCTTTTTTCAAGTTGCAACACAAGAAAATTGTCTTAAAATGCAAGTTACTAATAAACATAATGATAAAAATAAAAATAGTCAATAATAATTTACTGTATAATTATAGTTGACCTAATAATATATTTATACCACTTTCTTAAATTTTAATTGCTAAACACATTTACACATTTATTATCAATTTAAATAATGGTTTACTTTAACTGCAAAAAATCAACAAATACCAAGAATGCAACAATTCAACAAACATGAAATCAGAAAATCAGAAAATAAACAAATTACAACAATTCAACAATTCAACAAACAATTCAACAATTCAATAATTCAAAAAGTCACAAGAATTAGCAACTAAATGAATCACAAAAACTGAAAAATGAGTGATTCAGTGAACTGACCGAGTGACCGGACTCAGGGAGCCTGAGGGAGGCGGCCGTCGGGTCGCGGTGGGGCAGTTGCGGCCTGGCGGCTGGCGCTGTCGGTTGGTGAGTCGGTGGTGACGGTCCGAGAGAGGTCCGTGCCTACCGGCCTGGCGGAACGCGCTGCCGGTTGGTGAGTCCGTGCCTGCCTGCCTGGTGGACTGCCGGGTTGTGCGGTTGTGCCGGCGAGCCGCGGCGGTTGCCGGTTGGGGGCTTTGGGGCGTTGGGCGAATGCTAATCGCGAATGGGGATTGGGGGAATGGCGATGAATGAAATCGAGGAGTGCGATGTACACCGGCCCCAACAAGTTAGACAGGCCCAAAAATTAATACAGGCAAAAATAATTCGGTGACAATGTGAAATGGTGGACCCGGGACCGGCCCGGGTAACCACCGGGTCCGGTCCGGGTCCGGGCCAGGCCGGGCTCATTATAATTTTTTTTTTCCTCTTCCTAATTAACCCCCCTCCCACCCCCAACCCCCAAACCACCTCAAATGGCCCAAAATACCCAGCCCAACCCAAAAATTTAAAAAAAATTGAAAAAAAAAAATGTTTTTGGCCCGAACCGGGCCCGGGCCCGGCCGGGTCGGGCCTTGTTTTGGGTGACCCGAGCCCGGACCGGAAAACCCACAGGCCGGGCCTACCCGGACCGGTCACTGACCGGGCCACCGGGTCGGGCCGGGCCGGAACAGTACCGGTCCCGGGTCGGGCCGGGCCGGAACAGTACCGGTCCCGGGCCGGTTCCGGGTCGGGCCACCCGGCCCGAGTCCATCCCTAGTACAACGTGTACTTGTAATTTAAACGAAAAATCACGTCTTCCACTAAATTAGCAAGTGTACTTTTAAAGAACTATTTTATTGAGTATTTAAGAGACTAACAATGAGTATCACGATTTCTGTTTCATATCTTCTAATTCTTTTTTCTTTTTCTTATTTTTTCTTTATAAAAAGTTATTATATTATATCTACAATACACTGCTATTAATTTTAATATCCGAGTCTAATGTTATGATACTTTTGAAGTATGCATTCATATAACAATTAAAAAATGAGCATAATATTAGTACCAAATGAGCATGCATAACTTACAAAGTGCACATTGATATTAAAAATCATAAGGTTTGTTAGTTAAACATCATGACATTTTAATTAAGCTTCAAACATCCGCTATATATTGAGATGAAAATCATGGTGTCTTGTGCATGAGCATTTATGAACTTTTAATGAGAATCAGGCCTATTAAAATGAGCATAAGATCAGTACTAGATGAGCATATGTAACTTACAAAATGAGAATTAATGAATTTGTTAGTTGTTTTGTTAGTTGAACATCATGATATTTTCATTGAGCATCAAACCTCCTCTATTGAAATCGATGAAAATCATGAGTTCTATTAAATGAGCATTAATAAAATTTTAATGAGCATCAAACTTATACAAATGAGCATATGTATCATGATTTGTGGTCTCGTTTCTATAATCAACATCTATATAAATCTAATGTAATATGAGACTTTTGAAATATGCATTGCTAAAATATTTTAAAAATGAGCATAATGGAGATACTAAATGAATATACATAATTTACAAAACGAGTATCAAAAAATTCAAAAGCTCGTTTGTGTATGTTCATTTTTTAGACGTTTTACTCATTTGATTTTAAAGTAAAATTCATTTCTAAAGTGTTCAGTATTAATATATAAAGAAAAAGAAAGAAGTAAATTAAAAATAAAGAAACCAAAAGAAGTAAAGAAAAAAGACAAAACAAAACAAAGTAAAACCAACTCGTAAAGTAAAGAAAAAAAAATCAAAAAGAGTAACAATCATGAATGAGTATGGCATGAGTATGGCGGCAGAAGAAAGAAAGAAAAGGGGATGACTGCGAGAGTGGAAAGAAAAGAGAACGGCGGCGGAACAGGAAATTAGATGATGGAGCAACATGTGGATTCAACGAGAAGAAAGATTAGAGAGCAAAGGCTTAAAGTTGTTAAAAATTACAAAATAACCGGGTGTACATGGTATAATTTGCCGAAATCGAGAGGTTGGCCAGGGATTTTGGGCGCATGTCTTACTTAAAGTTTGGTTGGGCTGAGTCAGTAGTGGGTCTAATACTATTTTTTTGGGCCCATCTAAATTACGGGCCCTGTGCGGTTGGACTGGGCAGCCTTGCCCTGGGCCGGCCCTGAAACATAAAGTACAGAAAAGTTTACAAGCAATAAATTTAACAAATAGTTACAAACATTCACAATTACACAGATCATATACCTCTCATACTTTACACTCCAGTATAACAAGTCAACAAAAAGAAGAGAGCTTGTGTGACACAAAATGAAAATAAAATCTAGTTAGAGATATACTTAGAGAGGGCTGATTCCCTTATGCGATTAGACTAGGACTCCGACTCCTCGTCACCTGGCTAACTCCGGCGATAACTCTTCTTGAGTAAGCCTTTACAAAAATTATCCCTAGAACTGTACGCATCGCTTTTCGTCCCTGGAAATATACGCTTCACGTCTTCTTTAAGACCTGTAAGATAAATGAAAAATACACTCAGTATGTGATTAGGGTTTATGAAGCTCGATCGATCTGTTGGAATTTGATGGGAGAAAAGAGAACTTGAATAGGATGGGTTTTGGTGGGTGAGATAAAGTGATAAGAATTATACCGTACACCCAGATGTTCAGTCCTCACCGTACATCTGAGTATTTTTGAAATTATTATCAACTTCTCCCAGTCCATCGTCCGCATCTGCGCTGCCCCGATTCCTTCTCCCAGGCCATCGCCGAGTCCGCATTTGAGCTGCGCTCATTGGTTTCACCTTTTCTATTTTTTTTTTTTGCTTTTCTGTTTCCTTGCTTTTCCGATTTGGTGCTGCTAATCTATTACATGTTTTTCTCTTTTGTCTTTTCTGTTCTTCTTTTCTTGCTTTTACGTTTTTCCTTCTTTAGTTCTTTCTTTTTCTTATTTTTTTTATTTTAATCTTTATTCAATTATAAAATATTTTAGATATTAATGTTTTGTTTTTCTATATCTCATTTTGTAAGTTACGTATGCTCATTTAATTTTCGTTTTATGCCCATTTTAAAATGTCATATCAATACACAAATGAATATTGAGCACATATTGAGCACAATAGAAATGATTTTTATGTTAAATTCAAATGAGTATAACGTCCAAAATGAATGAGCACACAAATATGCGTTTTAAATTTTTTTTATACTCATTTCGTAAGTTATGTATGCTCATTTGGTAGTAATGGTATGCTCATTTTAAAATGGCATATCAATAATGCATATTTTAAAACTATTATACTACATTAAATTCGCATATTGTTTTTAATTGAAATCGATTATAGACATAATTTCAGAAATCTTTTTTAAACAAATAAAAAATTACATTAGAAGATTTGAAGTAGATTTCACGATACTCATTTTTAGGCTCCTAATACTCAAAAGAATAGGCATGATGCTCACCAAACTTGCATTAATGCTCATTCGAGACAAATCGCGATTTTCATCAAAATTACAAAATTGCCCCGGATGTACGGTGCAAGCCGTACACCCGGGTCACCGGGTGTATGGTATACGAGCTGAAGGCTTTGGGTGGGTGGGTGGGGTCATGATGCTCGATCAATGTGGGAAAAATGTGGGTGGAGTATGAGTGAGTGGGTGAGAGTAATTAATACGGAGTGCAAAGTATCTCCGGAAATTGGGACATACCAGTAAGGGTGTATGTGTCATTTTATTCATTTGTCTTTACCTGAAAGGGAAAGTGAAAAAACATTTTGGGACAGCTAAAAAAAGGAAATTTTGCAATTCTTTTCGGGACGGAGGAAGTATCCTGTATTGAATGCGGAATCCCGCCAGGATCTTGGCACGTTCGTTCACATGGGCTTGTCTCCTGTTTCCTGCTGGGTCCGAAGTCCTGCAGGACGTACGTCCCGTGCTATTCCTAGGCAAAGGTACCCGCTGATGCTAGGATACATACGTCCCCTGGATGATGGAAAGGTACCCCGTTGTCTTGGGTCTTCTGGGGACGTACGTCTCGTGATGTACTTGGTACCAAGGCATCTATCTTTGACTACGTACGTCTCCTAGACGATGGGGAGGGGTATCTCGTTGCTGTTGGCCTTCTGGGGACGTACGTCCCGTTCTGTACTTGAATCAAGGCACCTACCTTTGGCTACGTACGTCCTCTGGATGATGGGGAGATGTATGCCGCTGCCTTTGGCCTTTTGGGGACGTACGTCTCGTTCTGTACTTGGGCTAAGGAACCTACCTTTGTGTACGTACGTCCCCTGGATGATGGGGAATTGTATCCCATTGCCTTTGGCCTTCTGGGGACGTACATCTCATTCTGTACTTGGACCAAGGCACCTACCTTTGGATACGTACGTCCTCTGTATGATGGGGAATTGTATCCCGTTGCCTTTGGGCCTACTGGAGGCACCGTAGGATGGGCCTTCAAGGGTCTATGGGCCAACTCGCATCGGGCCATTAACCCAACACAAGTCCCCCACTTATGAGTCAACGAACCATTCTGTGTCTCCTGACGTACGTCCCCTTCTGCTACTTGCCTTTCTGGGTGTGGTACCTACGAGCCGGACGTTCCCTGTGGGGATGACACTCTTCTCTTCCTTGGGGTGTTTTCAGGGGGTCCCACCAGGAGGCCTGGGCTTAGGGGACAGCCGTCCAGTGGGCTTTGAAGTAGAACTTCTTCGGTCGTACTGCCTTTACTCGGCGCCCTTGATGCAATGGTTGTCTGTTGTATTTCTGGATCTTCGAGCCCGACCGTCTACGTGAATGGGCTTTGGCAGCCATTGGGGACGTACATCCGCTTGTCTAGAGGAAGGGTATTCTCTGTTGTTCGTCTTTGGGGACTCCTCGTTCCTTGTTTCACATTTCTCTCACCGGCCCTCCGTGCGGCCTCTAGGTCTTATGCTACGCGAGGCCGATGATCGTGATGAAAAGCAGGCACGTCGCCTAGGATCTTTTGTTCTTTGTTTAACCATTTCCTCATCGGTCCTCTGGGTGCCCGTTGGGTCTTATGCTACGCGAGGCCGGAGATCTCGATGAAGAACAACTCTATCCTCTTGGGGACATCCGTCTTTTTGCTCAACCATCCTCTCACTGATCCTCCGTGCGGCCGTTGGTTCTTATACTACGCGAGGTCGATGATCTTGATGAAGGGCACGTATATCATCTTGGATCTGCTGCGGTTAGCTCGACCATCCTCTCACCGGTCCTCCGTGCGGCCCTTGGGTCTTATGCGGCGCGAGGCCGGTGATCTTGATGAAGGGCAGGTACGTCGTCTA